TGTGGCAGTGGCAGATGTTGCAGTCGTCCACCTTCACTTCGATGCCGGCGGGAATTATCGTGGTCCCTGCAAAGCAGTTTGGACCTGCAAAAACACAGAGGAGTAAGAGAAATAAATAATTTTTTGTTTTTTTACATGGTGTAGCAGCTCTGCTATGAGTGCCTGGGAGCAGACAGGTGCTCGGCCCCAGTCCTTGCTGTGCTCTGGCCGCAACGTTGCTGCTACCAAAATCGGCAGCAATGCTCCCCGCCTGCTCAGTGCTAAACCTTCACCCCACGCCAATCACTTGTCTCACTGTTTTGGCTGTCCTCAGGCACTACAGGAAAAAAAAAAAGGTCTTGAACCTTTCCTTCTCCTGTTTCTGTACCCAACCCCTAGTACAAATGGCATCGGATGCTCCATTGATGCACCCGGCTTTTTCTACTCAGTTGCCCACTAATTTACTCTCTCTTTCTCCTAAAATTTGGCTGCAAGACGGACAAGACCGTGAGGCCAAGCATCAGGACACGGACCAGCCTTCGCTGCTGTAGCCTGGTGAGCCTGCAGGGACCGGAGCCGATTCATCCGCCAGGACCACGACAGCCGTGCCTGAATGCCTGGTAACCCCAGGGACCCCCTCCAGCTTGGGACTATTAACCAGAAATGATTTATAGCATCAAATTAACAAAAATAATTCATCTCCCAAATAAGCTTTCTGATAAAATCTGAGTTTTCTCAAGGGCGATTTCTTTAATCTGCTCATTATTGGTAAATTTTTTGGCTTCTTTATGACATAATATCAAAGCTGAGTAGCAAGTCAACAAGGTGCTTATTTTCCTCCTTCTCATAAAAGCCCCACAGATACCCACTGCCCAGCTGTCCCTCTGCAAACCCTCTCCTTCTCCTGTCTTGCTCCTGCATCAATTAGCGCCAGGAATTAATGTCAGAGCCAGCAGCACACAGAAAAAAAATCGAGGCGGTCGCATTGGTGGCATCAGGGAAGTGTGAAGATATTTGAAAAGTGTCTCATGGCTCGAGTGCTGCTCCGAAATGTCACCCCTCGGTTGGCCACCGGTTTTAATCTATGCCTCCAGTGCACGAGGTGCATTCGAAAAATGAGAGCGTGTACAGACATCAAATTACAGGCAAGTTGTTAGGGCTTACAATAAGGCTTAAGACTGTTTGAAAGGGAAAAACGGGGTCCCTACATGGCTGAAAACAGGCTGAACTGCAGCCAACCCCGTGCCAGGGTCTCCCGTTTTATAGTCTCAGAGAACTATTCCTTTAATCTTGCTGATTTATTAGTGCCCTGACTTTATTAAGATGCTCCTCAGGACCCTATGTTTAAGCTCAACAGGCCACGAGTTTGACAGGGCTGGGCTTAACTAGACGTAGGCAATTCAGGTTGCTGCCGAGCCAAACGGTGCCTGAATGTTGTTTAAGTGACCCCTCCACCTGTATTAAAGGCCTCTTCAAATGCAGATCAGCTCTACAGCAACTTTTCACATCCATCTTAATGAAGCCACAAGGGAAGGGCCTGAGAAAGATGCCTCCGATGGCTCCTGCACCAGAATTTGGGGTGACTGGGTGTACCTCAGGGCTGTTGCTTCCTTCCATGGGCAGGACCTGGGAAGGTCTGGGTCTCTCCATGAAAGGGGGATGATGCCTCTCACTTGCCTGGCCAGCACGTGAGGCCATCAGGACGCCAGGTAGAAGCAGGCTTTTGCTCCAAACAAGGCAATTCAACACCACGTGTTGAGCTAGAGTTTAGGCTACACCAGTCTGCTGGCAGTTGAGGAGCAGCGCACCAGGCATGGGGATGTTTTAAGTCTGCTTTGAGCTGGGCTTTGGGCTGGACAGCCTCCAAAGGTCCTCTCCAACATCAGTCAGTCCATACTGCAAAGAACTTCAAAGCCAGGAGTTACCAGCCAAGGACACATAGCGATACAGAAAAGCCAAACGCTACGTATAGACACACATATACTATATGTTTTCTTCTTTACGTGCATATGGTTGAAAAAGCCATGACCTGTTTTGGTCACGAGCTGAAGATTTCTGAAGCTGGCGTCCCTCCGGAAGACACAATCCCGATTGGAAAGGTTGTGATCCCAACTGCGGTACTTCTCGTGCAACCCACTGAAGTTGTCGCTTCTTCCCACGGCTTTCGGGTCCCTGCGCTGGCTGCGCCGCTGCCTGTGCTCTTCATCACAGATTTTAACTGTCTGTTTCATCAAGTCTGGTGCGTGGTGGTGTGTTATGACACCCAGTGTGGGCTTCGCCACCAGGCTGGCTCATTTGCTGCAGCTAAATGTCCGGGGTTCAAATGCAATGAAAATGCCAATAATTGTAGCTAGCCATATTTAAAACTGAAGTAAGCGCCTGTCCCTCTTTAATAGGATACTGTGATTGCCTGCCGATGTCAGGGACACCCAGGATGGGCAGCCTCCGCACAACAGCCTGCTCTGCACTCCCAGAGCAAAAAAAACCCTTTTTCATTAAAATTTCAACAAAAAGCTTCCTCTGGAGATTAGGGTGGCAAGGAAAGGGGGAAGATTGTTTTCTCTCTTGTTGCCCTGCAGCTGCCTGTTAATCCTCTCATTTGAGAAGCCACTACTGCCTCGACACCCATGCACGTCTCCCGACACAGCCTTCTCCAGGTGCCGAACAACAGTGGATTTATAGCACCGTGGGCCTGTTCAACGTGGATGAAAACACGCAGGAGGCCAGCACTGACCGGGGCCAGCATGTTTTCCTACTCACAGGTAGAGCCAACCTTTGCTGCCCAGTTGGGGTTTGCGGACCCCACGCCCCGCTCCCCCCATGGGGTTTTGGCTGCATCCCTGCACTGAAATGCCGCAGGGGCAGAGCAGAGCTGAGGGTCACGGTCAGCCAAGGGCGAGCACGTTGGGACTGGCTGATGGGGTACTGCAAACTGAGGAAAAACTTTTTTTTTTTCCTTGCATCCTGCTTATTTGTCCATCCCACGGCTGCTCCATCACAGCCACAGCTGCCCTTCCTCTTCCTCCCGGCAGCCCCAGGTCCCTTCTCCTGCTTGAGCCTCCCCAGGGGGGGTCCTTTGGCAAAAAAATAATCAATTAACACCCCTCATTAATGTTGCTATCCCAGAGCCGAGAAGCAGAAAGCAGGCACCACGATGAAAAGAGAGGGTGGATGAGGGGGTTGTACTGAAAGCATCACCCGTGCCTTTGAGGTCCCCGGCAGAGAGGGGAATCACTCATTTTGGGGACAGCACCGCAGCCAGCAATGTCCCTGCCCTGGCCGAGGACATAGGGCAGCTCTGCAAAATAGTAATTAAACACTAATAATCTGCTCTTCTGATCTCTGGCAGCTACTGAGCCAGGAAGGACCTGGCAAGTGCCTCTGCGTCTAATGGAAAATCCTTGGGATGCCGCCACCCCCCGCAAAGGGGCTTGGGCGAAGGGAAGAGGAAAAATTACGGCTATTTTGGCTAAATCATAGGGACGGAAGGCTGGGAGGAACATTGGGGGACGGCCAAACCAGCCCTCGCTGAAGCAGCACTGAGCATCCCTGGGCTGGTCGGCTAAACATCACCTGAGCAGCCCGAAGGAAGGAGCTGTATTCAGAGGCTGAAGTGAGGGAAAAATTACAGCAAGTGCGTTTGTTTTCCTCTTTCTTGGCTTTTAGCAAAATGGATGAGAACCTGGCTTCGGGTTCTACTGACATCTGCCCTCGTATGTGATGTTTTGCTGCCATTTTGGGACATCCATCTCTTCTGTCAGACCTTAGTACTTTTAATTCAGGCCAACATGACCACTGCTCTGGACCTTTTTTTTTTTTTTTTCCCCCAGCACTCTCTCAAAATAACCACCTCTGCATTGCCAGAGTGAAATGTTTTCTTCTGCATGCCACAGCAAGCTGGATGGAGCATTTCTGCATCCTCTCTTCCCCCCGTCGCTATTACCACTCCTATAGAAACGTGGATTTCTAACAGAAGGCAAAATTTCCACACTCCATTTGTGATAATTCAACTTAAATTCCCACTGCCTGAAATCCAATTTTCCACCACAATCGCTATCAGCCAGCCTCTTTATTTTCCCCATCTAAACTTCTCCCACCTTCACATTGGAAAATCGGATCCTGTTTGTCCAAAATGGGACGCACCCGCAGCTGAGGCATGAGAAAGATGCTCTCAGAGAGGGACATTGCACCGCTGAAATTTAGTTGGAAATATGCCCCAGACAAGTGGCATTTTCTACACAATGGCGCAAGTCACCAAGGAGTTTTCCAGCGCCCCCGGGTTTGCCCGAGCCGACAGCTCATGCATTGCCAGAGATAACATCCAGCTCCTGGGGCTGCTACGTGGCTTTGCGATGTGCCTTAGAGGAGCTGCAGCTTGTAAAGCCACGACTGGATCCCACGGCAAGAAACGGAGTCCTTTCTTTATTTTTTTTTTTTCTCTGCAGCAGAGCTAACTGGACTCCTTTAGTTCTCTAATATTTTTTTTCCCCTCCCTTAGCTCAGCCTCCCAACATTGCAAAAGCTCAGCGCCCCAACCTCGCGCTGGGGACCGTCCTGAGCTTTTCCCACTGTGGCTTTGGGCTGAGACCAGGATCTGCCAAACTGATGTTATGGCTTTGGGCTGGGACCGGGATCTGCCAAATTGATGTTAAAAAAAAAATAAATCACAAAGAATGAGACAGAACAGCACAGCAACGTGGTCTTTTTATTATTATTCAAAGGAAGACGCTGCTCAGAAACATTTCATGACATGTCACGCACATCAAGAAAGTTACTTATGATAATAGCAGTAGGAATGAGAAGCTGCTTTGGGCAAGGGCTGTCGTCCTGGTCTTTGTAAAAGCATCTTAAACCACTACTGCGATGTAAACAGGACAGTAATCACCCTCTTCTCCTTGCTCAGGGAGACTGATGGGAGAAGTTTGCTGCTCCCACAGACAACCTAATTGTGAGATTTGCTTTGCTTAACATAGTTAATACTCATAAAAGACCACAGCACTCCAGGCTGTTTGCTAGAACAACTGTGAAGATTTTTATGGAGATATATTAGGGACATTCAGATGCTGCTTTGATGGGAGAGATGTAGAAAAATCATACACGGTTTG